CTATCACCGGGTGGATAATCACGACACGGAGGAGTGCTTTACCTTGAAACGCGAGATTGAAAGACTGATCCAAAGAGGCCATCTGAGTAACTTCGTCAAAGGGGCCGCACAGCAGCCCAACCATGTATGGCGGAAATCATCAGAACAAGTGGCATGCACGCAGCCGGAGACCCGAAGGGCAGAGAAAAGACACATTGGAAATGAGAGTGACGAGGATGCCTCGGATGAGCCAGGGCCGAAGCGAGACAAGAGGAACCATGACATCAATTTCATTTATGGAGGTAATGCAGGCGGGGACTCTTCGTCCCTTCGAAAGAAATGGGCTCGTCAACTGTACATTGGTGAGATCATGCACTCTCCAATGAAAAAGAAGGTACGACGTGAACCTATATGCTTTACTGATGATGACCTACCACCATGTCCAAGCCCACATCGGGATGCCATGGTTATCAAAATGGAGATCAATGATCTTGTCATACACCGTACCCTGGTCGACACTGGAAGTTCCGTTAACATAATGTACCTCGACACTTTCGAGAAACTGAAGTTGTCCAAAGGAAAACTCCATCCGATAAAAACCCCATTATCTGGGTTCACGGGTGACTCTATTGAGGCAGAGGGAGTTGTCACGGTCCCGGTAGAGGTGGGGGACACATCCCATAAAGTGAAACTCAACATGGAGTTCGTAGTTGTCCGACTGACATGTGCACATAATCTTATACTCGGACGGCCAGGCCTCGAAGAGTTGCAGTGCATGTGTCCCCGGCACATCTTTGTATTAAGTTCCCAACACCAACCGGAGTGGGGATAGCACGCGGGAGCCAGAAGCTCGCCCGAACATGCTACATAAAAATCACAAAGAAGGTGGGGCGGCATGGCCTCCAGGTAAACACTGTGGCCACACAATACCTACAAGATGAAGAGCGAAGACCCCGTGCTGAACCAGCAGAAGGGACAGAAGAGGTCACCCGTGACCCTGCAACCCCAGAGCGCAAGGTTAAGATAGGAACCGGATTGTCAGCTGAGCTCCGCGCTGAGGTCATAACCGTCCTGACTATGTACCAAGGCATATTTGCAAGAGGACTAGAGGACATGTCAGGCATCAATAGAGATGTCATCTCTCATCGCCTAGACGTAGATGCTGCGTCAAAACCGGTGAAACAAAAGAAACGTTACATGTCCTCGGACAGGCGGGAGTTCGTGAGGAAAGAAGTGGGCACCTTGTTAAAGATCGGCCACATCAAGGAGGTAAAATACCCAGAATGGTTGGCAAACGTGGTATTGGCACCTAAACCCCCAACATGGAGGATGTGTGTTGATTACACTGACCTGAACAGAGCATGCCCGATGGATCCATTCCCATTGCCTAACATCGACCAATTGGTGGACGAGACAGCAGGGTGCGAGTTGATGAGTTTCGTGGATGCTTTCAGTGGATACCACCAAATTCGCATGCATGAGGAGGATGCGGAAAAAACCTCATTCATGACTCCAGAGGGTGTTTTCTGTTACTTAGTCATGGCGTTTGGACTGAAAAACTCTGGGGCAACGTACACTCGCATGATCTCTGAACTTTTTCGACCTGTCCTAGGCCGCACCATGGAGGCCTACGTGGATGATATGATTGTGAAGAGTAAAAGAGCAGATACGCATGCCGTGGATTTGGCAGAGGTGTTCAAAATCATGGAGAAGTTCAATCTTCGTCTCAATCCAAAGAAGTGCACGTTCGCCGTGCAGGGAGGGAAGTTCCTGGGTTACTTGGTAAGCAGAAGAGGAATCGAGCCAAATCCGGAGAAAGTCAAGGCCATACTCGAAATGGAACCTCCTCGTAATGTCAAAGAAGTGCAGCAATTGACGGGACGCTTAGCGGCTTTGAACCGCTTCTTATCAAAACTAGCAGAGGAAGCCACGCCATTCTTCCACATCATGAAGAAATCAAAGGGTTTCGTATGGACTGAGGAGTGCCAAAAGTCATTCGAGGGATTGAAAAACTACCTCTTGTCTCCTCCTGTCTTGTCCAAACCTGAGGCGGGGGAGACATTATACCTATACCTAGGGGTTTCACCAAGTGCAATTAGTTCTGTCCTGGTGCGTGAAGATGGTGGCGTCCAGAGACCCGTTTACTACGTAAGCAAAACTTTGAGGGACGCTGAGCTACGGTACACAACCATAGAAAAAACTGTTCTATCCGTGGTGTGGACGGTCAAACGGCTCACACAATACTTCCAAGCTCACCCTGTCCATGTACTATCACACCAACCCCTGGGTGCCTTAATGAGAAGTCCCACGGCTTCCTCGAGGATGGTCAAATGGGCAGTGTATCTAAGTCAATTTCATATAGAGGTGAAGCCAAGACCTTCCATCAAGGGGCAAGTTCTTGCAGATTTCATAGTAGAATGCACAGCGCGGGAGGAAGCAACGAAGATAAAGCATGGCGACGATGAACAAGAGTGGTGGATATTGTCCACGGATGGCTCCTCCGCGGCCAAATCTTGCGGGGGAGGGGTGGTCCTCACCACGCCCGAAGGCTTCAGGGCCTATTACGCTATCCGGTTCAACTTCAAGGTGTCGAATAATGAAGCAGAGTACGAGGCTCTACTATGTGGCCTACGCTTGGCGGCGAACATGAGGGCGGAGAAGGTCAAGATACGGTGTGATTCAAAACTAGTGGTTGGACAGATCACGACTGAGTTTGAGGCGAAGGAAGAACGGATGCGGCTATATCGTGACGCTGCCCTGGAACTTCTGAAATTGTTCATCGCCTATGAAATTGAACAGATACCAAGAGCGCAAAATGTCGAAGCAGACATGTTATCCAAATTAAGTGCAGAGACACCGGAAAGGATTTCAAAGATTGCAAGGATAGAAGAGTTGGACACTTCCAGCATATATGCATGCCCTGTCCAGGCCATAACCACGAGGGACGCGGACTGGATTGACTCCCTCATCAAGTATATCAACGAGGGAGTGCTGCCCGCGGAGGAGGTTGAAGCCAAGGTGACTAAGATGAGGGCGCCGAGTTATACCATTTTGAATGAGAAACTGTACAAGAGGTCTTACAATGGCACGCTTCTCAAGTGCTTACGACCAGATGAAGCCAAGGTTGCCATGGAAGAGATACATGCAGGGATATGCTCAGCTCACCAAGGAGCACACACCATGTCCCGAAAGGTAATCCTACAAGGTTTCTTCTGGCCAACCATAGTTAAGGATTGCGCTGAATTTGTCAAGAGGTGTGTGGTGTGTCAAGAGTTCCAGAAATCTCCGGGACGTCCAGCCACCAACTACACCCCCATTAGCACGGCTATACCTTTTGCACGGTGGGGGATAGATCTCATTGGTGCCTTACCAAGGGGAACAGGGAGCGTGAGATGGGTTATCGTTGCCATAGACTATTTTACTAAATGGATAGAAACAGTACCCCTAGCAAGCATCACTGAAGGGCAATGCAGAAAATTTGTCATGAAGCACATCCTTTGTCGCTTTGGAGTACCCCAACAGATCATAACCGATAATGGGAGGCAATTCGGAGCATCCGGGTTTAACGAATTCTGTGAGAGTTGGGGGATCAAACACAGCAATGCGTCAGTTGCCTATCCCCAAGCGAATGGCCAAGTGGAGAATGCAAACCGCACGATCATGGACGGTTTGAAGAAAAAACTGGAAGCTGCCGGAGGGGAGTGGGCTGAAGAACTACCACAGATACTCTGGGCATACAGGACCACACCAAGAAAGGCCACAGGGGAGACACCATTCGCCTTGACATATGGTTTCGAGGCGAGGGCACCTGCGGAAGTAATTCTCCATAGCCGCCGAGAAGAGGAATATGACCCCGAGACGAACGAGGAGCTCATGGCGACCGAGCTTCTTTTTATTGAAGAAAGAAGGGAAGCGGCTTTCTGTCGTGCGGAGAACTATAGAAGGCAGGTGAAGGGATACCATGATTCTCGAGTTCGCAAACGCAACTTTGAAGTTGGGGACTATGTCTTGAGAAAAAGGGAGGTCAGCAAACCCTTGGAAGGGGGAAAATTTGCCAAAAATTATGAAGGCCCTTACGTGATTAAATCAGTGATCCGTCCAGGGACGTTCAAACTCCAGACGCCGAAGGGAAAAGAAATTGAGAGGACTTGGAACGCAGAACACTTGCTCAAGTTTTACCATTGAAAATTTATCATTGATACTCCACCTGATGATTATGATGTATGGTAACCACGTATGGTGGTAAATGCGGTCCTTTTCCATCCACGGTTTTTCAAATAAGAGATCTCCTTGATCCACACAAGAGTGAATAATGGCAGTCCCTGGCCGCAAAAAAAAAAAAACATGGTGTCGTTCAAAGACACTGTGGGTGTCAAACTCACCCAAAACAAAAACAAATTACAAGGTGTCATCCAAGGACATCGTGGGTGTAAAACTCACCCAAAACAAAAAAAAAATGAAATAAAAAAAAAAAAACTAGTAAGTAGCCAGGCATGTCTCCTATGACATAGCTGAAATTCTCAACACGCAAGGGGTATAGACTCGCCCCTAGAAAGGGGACGAGGATACATCGCAAATCGATCCCAACAAATGCGTAACCCTCAGGGTTGTATGGTCAGGATGCATCTGTGAAATATATCGGATAGCGGCCATGTTTCCCAAAAAACATTGTGTGCCCCAGAGCAAGCCTAAGTCACTCAAGTGTTAGGTTCGCTCACTTAGTCCTATTTTTTGGGAATAAGTGATGCGCGCAATGTAGCGAAGGAGGAGGTGTCAACGACACCTTGTGCCTATCGTTGTCCTCAGTCACTCTATCTAAATGCACAATGCCTCAATTGAAAATTAGGCAGATACGGGGCGATAAATGCACCAAAGTTATACACTTGGTGTAGTATCACCGTACACTACTATAAATGATCACACAAACCATGCCAAACAAGGCATGGTCACCGCGCGGTCTCATAAAACCTAAATGTTGGTCAAATAATTAATTATGCGATAATACTAAACAATAACGAAAAGAAAATAAGACATGCATCATTATTATTTTATGAAATTCAAAACATCTTTAGCAACTCAGGTACTCATAATTGAAGACATGACAGAATTAAAGTCTACACTACGTCCATCCGTCACTCCCATGCATGCTCTAAGGCACAGAAGCAGTCGAAGCTGGGTGATCTGTCTCGGAAGGAAGATCGCCAAGCTCCTCATCAGTGGGGAGTCTGTCAAAAGGAATATAGTCCAGGGGCGTGTTGGCTACCGGGATCTCAGGGTTGGGAACCTCAGGAGGAAGTCCCCAATCAGTGATGCAAGAGGTACCAGCCTTATCCCTCAAGATATGATATATTTTCTGTTGAGTGGCATATATCCCGATCTGGTAGGAGATGTAGCTCTCTAAGGCCAGTTTCTCACGACCTTCCGGAGTAGACAACCAATGCTTGCTAATATCGTTCAAGTGGGCATTAATGTATGCTTCCTGATCAGACACGAACTCTGGAGAATTCTTGTATGCATCCACGGCCCGCCCCCTTGCATTGGCCAACTCCACGGTGTGCATTTCTTTAAGCGCAGTGACCTCGGCTGCATGTGAGTCACGCACGAGCTTGAGCGATGCCACCTCCTTCGCTAATTCGGTGAGTTGTAGCGACAAATCTTTCTCGCGCTCATCTTTCCTTCGGTTCACCTCGGAGATGGACAACAGTAGCTACAAAAAAAAAAATTAGTATCACGAGATGCATAAATAAAAGGTAACGGGGAAATGGGGGGGTTACCTCGGCCAGGCCATGGTGGCTCCTCTTCTCTAAAGCAGCATGGTCAAGTGTTGAAATTTTCTCCTTCTCAGTCGCCGTGATCACCTGTGATAAGAGCGGAGGTAACTCAAGGTTACCTTGTAACCAAGTAGTCATCCCCGTCGTGGGAATATCACTCATGCTACGGGTGACGCGGGCTGCGGGGCTAGCGGCCCTGCGTTTTGCAATGGATGAAGGCACAGTTACAATGGCATCCTTGCCTTTTGTGACGGAGGGAACCCTTGGTTTCTTGTCAGAGCGGCCCTGATCAGTACCGGGAGGCCCATCCTGGTCAAAGCTTTGGAACATCTCCAGCCGCGATGTCATATCTGCAAAAAAGAAAAAAAAGGTATGCATATGTGTTAGTTAATATATATGCGTGTATTATCTCCTATAGACAAGGTAACTGTGGACAACCTTGATCCATGGACGTGGATGCGTGTGCACCCGAACATGGTGACGGCGAATAGAGTCCAACCGTGGTCAGGCGGTCCTCGGAAGTAAAGGCAGAGAGGCTATACGGTCCTCCAGAAAGAATCATAGCTGGCCATGTCTCCTGGTCAAATGGAAGTTTCGGGTACGAATACTTCTTAAATCGACAATTCAAAGACGATGAAAAAGGTAACGGAGATCCAGACGACACATAGACAAATTCTTCTTTCCAATTGGCTTCGTTGCTACGAGTGATCTTCCACATGTCAAAGTGGTGGCGCTGAGAGATAGACACCCAGGACAGACTATCAGATGCCGAGCACTGCCCAGCTCGGAACATGTGCTTGAAGAGGTCTAGGGACGGTTCAATCCCAAGTGTCTCACACCGGACCAGGAAAGCTACCAGATACTGATGACCGAGCGGAGTCAAGTGACAAGGTGAAATTTCAAGATCATTTAAAAACTCGATAATCAAAGGGTGTGTGGGAAAGCGGAATCCTAATTTTATGGAAAGAATATGCACCCCGAAAAAGTGACCCTTAGGAGGATCAGTTACAATATCCTCTGAATCTGGACATCGGACAGTCACTGTGGACGGAAAAAATTTCTTATACTTTTGAAACTTGGAAACTGAGAGGCGCGACCTGTAGTGTAAGATGGGGCTCGGGTCTAAGGGTGGATACGGACCACGGTAGCGACGTTTTGGTGGTTTGACTGAAGCGGCTCGTGGCTTTATGGGACTAATTTCTTCAACATCAGAATTAACATCTGCCCAGGGATGAGGAAAATTCTCCAACACTAATTCCCCGTCACCACTGAACAATTCATCAGAGTCTATGGAGTCCAGTACATCCATAAGGTATTAACAGCTAACATATTATGCAAAAAAAAGGGGCAAGAGAAAAATCAGCCGCTAATTATTAAAAAAAAAATTATTACTACGTATATCAGTCATTAGCTATAAAAAAAAAAAAATTGAAAGATACTAGTACTTCGTATGTCACTGCAATTGATTGATAACATCAAGGACATAGCAAAAGGAGTTATGTTCAAAGCCAAAATTACGGAGGAGACTTAAGAGGGAAGTCAAAATTACAAATAAAAGGAAAGAAGACAGAAAACGGGAGCATACCTGTGTATTCTAACAGCAACGGCGGCGGAATCTGATTCAGACCTTCAGCGGGACAACGACGACGCAGGTGGAAGACGGCGATGGCAGGATGACAGACGACGACGGCGAACAGTCCCTGAGGTCACCGGAGTGCGCTAATGCCAGGCTATAGGGACACCGCCGGTGTGGTTGGGGTGCTCTGTTTACTCGCAGCGACCGTCTGGGGCGGATGGAGTACGACGGCAGGCAAGAACTTCGAACGTGGGTAGGCTGGTTGCGTAATTGGACGCTGGTGGCGGCTGGAGACGTTGACCGGCTGGTGGCTGCCGACGAGCTGCGACCTGGGCAGTATGGCAATCCTTGACCCTCACCAACGAAGCTGCCAGGAAGGAAGTAAATTTGGAGTCATGAGCTGCACACTTCAGTAAAAGAAAAGGAAAATTGAATTAGTTAAAATGATTGAATGGGTAAAGACAAAAAACAAAAATTGACAGGGTGACCATGTACACTCAACATTGACACGGTAACTATGTCTATCAACATTGACACGGCAACTATGCCTATACTCCCTATCGCCAATATGCTATTTGGCTTAGGGAGTGGGGGGCTTGTGATGGTATAATTATCCCAACCATAGATAAATGTTGACCGGGTTAACATAGATGAAAACAGTTAGAGGTTGATGTGCATGGTAACTATGCACGGATGATGATAAGGTATAAGAAGAGCTCGTACATGGTGACCACGCGCGGTTTGGGAGATAAAAGACGGTATATAGCGACTGTGGACGAGGGTTAGTAGAAGAATGGGGAGTACGGAGTAACCGTGGATGTCATGGTAAGCTTATCCAATTCAAAGAGCACGTCCACAGCAACCATGGACGCAAGTAGAAGACCAGAGTGCACTATAGCCTTGGGTGTCATGGCGAGCTTATATAAAGAAATGTCCACAGTGACCCTGGACATGGTAGTAGAAGTTTATCCGAATAATTTATACATGGTGTCTCTGAACATCATGGCAGAAACTACATGGCGACTCCGTACAGACAAACCACATCCCCGACGTCTTTTCAAGATATTTACACAATCAACAAAGGATCCTGCGGATCCGGATTAGTGATTTGCATATCAATACGAACATGGCGACCACGTCGCCCAAATCTTTTATGTCTTATTTTGCACTATAAAATGATGTAATCTTTGGAAAGTTAATCAAGCTCAATACACTGAATACACTACATACATTTATCTCTCTAAAGATTATCCTGAGCACTTTAATTATTTTCGGCTATCTCTTATTAATTATTTTCCGGTGGATTTACTTCCATCACCCGGGGTATTATACTAGCCGGTAGAAAGCATTGAAGGTCCGTCAAAGGCGCAAAAATACTAAGTCCACAATCCGAGACAGACCCCGACCCCGACCACCGAGGTCGGGAAAACACCAAGCTCAGGAACCAACCAGACTCAGTGGATAACGAAGTCAACCGACCCCGACCCCGACCCCGAGGTCGGGAGGACATAAGGCTCAGGAATCAACCAAACTCGGCAAGTTATGAGCCCGACCTCGATGCACCCGAGGGCTGAGGCCGGTACCAGGTCTGACTCTGGAAATCAAACATTTGGTCAACGGTAGACGGTAGTCAAGCACCAGGCAGTCAACTACCTCCAAGGCATGAACAAAGGACAATAAGACGGGTCCTCTCAACACGAGCCCGAGTTCTCGGATATTGGCCTCACTGATCCCCGAGGTCAGGATAAAGCATCATGTACTTAGATAGGATCCGCAAGGAAACACTGCCACGTCGCTTTCTGTACCAGAGGAATACTCCGGATTATCCACGTGCGGCTACGCGAGGCTTCTGGCAGAAATTCTGTTAGAAGAATAATCAATCAGCCAGCTATCAAGGGTTCTCTCTCCAATCAGCTTTACACGTGGCTGCTCCTCATCGAATTAGGCTGTTAGTTTGTTAGAATAACTTTACACGTGTCCTTCTCCCATTAGACTAGCATCTTTGGCTTGGCCACCAAGTATAAATGTCACCTTCCAACTTGTGGAAAGGGATGCTTAATCTATTGCACTCTTGAGACTTATACACTGAGATTTTACCAATTTACGATATGTACTTTCCGATCAATTCACTCTCCCTTCTACTCTCATTTTCGGTGGATTCCGGCCACCCCTGGTCCGACGATCCATCAGATAGTAATACACCAATATTCCATCTATTTTTGTCTCAGTTACGGAGTACTATTTATTTGATCAACACAAATCACTCTTAATATCTTACTTTATATATCAAATGTTTATCAAATTTGATTCTAGTTTTTGTGACTTTATAAAACTTTTTATGTAGTTTCTGAATATGTAATATTTTTCTAAAAATAATTTGAGTGCATCGTATTACTATCTCTATAAGGGGGGGGGGGGTCCGTTTACTTTATCGTTGGTCATGCATCGTAAACCACAATGTAACAAGGGTATTTGTTATTTCTATTTTATGGACTCTTGTGTCCTATACAACCCTCGTGTACTCTCTTTATTATCAGCACAATGATATAATAGTACATTTAATTTCATTAAACAACTTCTACATATATAGTATGAGTGTCACGCTTAATAAACAATTTTATCCTTCCCTAATCACTAACACATACTTCGTATGTCCTAAAATAATCAGTAAGTTTTTTAGTGCATATGATGGCTAGCCATAGCAATTGAGACGATTCTAAATTTACTCTTGTATTACGAATCTAGCTTAAGCGCAAATTGCTCCAATTCCCTTCAATGAGACCAAGCCATTAGCAAAACATAAGACCACGGGAACCCAATTAAGAGTGAATAGAAATAGATATTGAATTGTTTTGATGGAAATGCAGAAACACTTATAAGTGCTTCAAATTGCTTCTAGGAGTAGTTTTTGAAATGTTTAGAGAAATCAATTTGTGAAAACTTATTTCGGTTCTTACTTGTACTTTAACAAACAATCAGAAGCAAAATCAGTTCAAACACTATACTCCATACATAATCATACAATTAAATACAGTATGTATTTGGCAATTTTGCACTCATTAGTAAAAATTATAAACCACCTATATACTAATGTTGAATTATTATTATTATTAGTGTTGAGTCCCTAAGTAACGTGTTTCGTAAATTAATTATAAGTAGCTATATGTATCACACTTCTCGGTCTCGGTTGTATCGGTGCTTTAAATATAGTGTCCAGTAGGTTATTCCTACTAAGTATTCCAATAATACTTTGGCATTGCATAGCCTAAATAAGATGAGGTTGACGTAGACCTCGTTTGATATGCCCTATTTTCATCTTATCGGTGTTAGTAGTCAACATTATAATTAAAATGTACTACCTCCGTCCCGAATTGATTAGCAAATTTGACTTTTCTTGGTCAAACAGTTGTGTTTTGTCCACTTAATTAGGATGCCAATTTTTAATTATATTCTAATTTGGAGTTTACAACTTCGAAGAGATTTTGATGTAGTTTATGAATATGTAAATTTTATTTATTAAAAATTAAATTAATTATGCATAAGAAGGGTTGACTTTTATTATTAGTTGACCAAAAAATGTTGACTTTGCAAAACAAATTGGGACGGAGGGAGTATAAGTTTAGAGTCACTTTTCTGAATGAATTGACTGACGTCATTGTTAAAAATCATTTTAGCTTTATTTTTATACAATTTTTCTTTATTGTATTAATAAAATGTTTTTTAATACGGAGTATTGTTTTTTCATAATTTGTTAGATTCAGTCAATTCAACTACTTTAGTCACAATCTCATCAATTTCAACATAGTTAACTGATTCACCATATTTCAGAGCTAGTTTAGTAATACCAAATGGGTCGAATCTGCTGATTCTGATGAAATTTATGAAATTTTGGATGAATTGGAGGATTCTGTTTAATTATGAAAACATTATATTTAAAATATAGTCTTAATCAAATAAAGAAAAATAATATGTAATTAAAATAGCTAAAATGATCATCTAGAGTAAATTGAGCAATACAGACAGAAAAATTAACTTCAATCTTACCTTATCTGATTACTACACAATTCAGCGTGCGAAATCAAAAGTCACGTATTTGGTTGGATGATAAGTTTGATGGGTAAAAAATAGGGTTATCACTCCGTATAACCAGATAAGCTTTTAGTATGATTTTAGTTCGCGCAACGTATGAGTTTGAACCTTACTCTTTAGTTTTAGAATGGGCAGGATAATTCCAACTAAGTTTTAATTAAGTTCTTTTACTTTGAGAAAACCATACAAGTTACTATCTACTTCGTATTTATCAAGACTCTAGGGGCAGGGGTTATAGTAGGGGTGGAGTAGGTATGAGATAGAGGTGATAGAACGAGTTTCATTATGAGATAGAATGAAGATATTGTTAAGAGATATACGTACTAGAATTTCATCATAAAAGGTTAATCTCAAAAAAAGAGTAACTTAAAGTCTTATATAGAAATTTATTGTTTTATAGCTTTTCGGTAGAGAGCATAAATGGATTATACTGACCCTTAACAAGTTAGACTTAATCATGAAAGCTAATTTGCTAAACAAGTCATCAAACCGCGGCCACACTTAGCTCTGATAACATGTTGAGACATGTGGTTTTATCCTAAAAGGTCAACCTGATAATAAGAATGTCAAATTTTTATTGTTTTATAACTTTTCAGTGTGAGACAAATACTTTAACAGGTATACATGTCTATATAAATAGAACTTAATCGATTGCTTAGTAAAACATGAGGCTAGAGAAGATATCCATGTGTTTATTAAGGAGATATTATATTTAATAAAAAAAAATATTTACCACACCAGTACTAATAAGCTAAAGGTGAAATTAAATGTGAACTAAACATGTTCTTATTGTACAAAATTGTGAATATACATGCATGTTACGATACGTAATGAATGAATCACAATGGCAAATCAATTTTAGCATAATCAAATGGTAGGCAAAAAATAATAGAGATTACTAATTCTACCTAGAACACTCGCACAAACAATTGATCGAATGAATACACAATCACTCCGGAAATTTACAGCAATAAATCAAATGCAATACATCAAATAATAGAGACAACTAATGGTACAAGAAAAAGGTCACGAAATACATAATTTGATTTTAATTAAACCAGTGGTTTTTTGCCTCATCTGATGTCGGTAGGGAACTGAAGAAGACAACAGTCTACACCCTACTGTGAAAGTAAAGGTAAACCCAACTCTACTTGCCACAAAACGTTCAAGATCATTAATAGAACTAGAGAAATCGCCTCTTTCTTGGAATAAGCAACAATTGAATCATACAAAAATAGTTTTATACTTGTACGGAGTATTATTTTTTATTACGCTCCAATATTCTGATTTATGAAGTGTATGAAATACCTCTAAAACCTCAAGAAAGGTAAATCTGAATGTGATCACAGTCAGTTTTATCAGTACTGCCTTCAAATTAAAGGAAGAACTCAGTAAGACTTATAACACATGCCCCTTCGAGACTGCTCCTCCCATCATATGAACCTACTACCTCCATTGTCATGGTTTCATGTCTCAAACGCTAAACTATTATGTAAAAGTAGACCGAATCATGAGGAGCAAGACTTCTCTGAATTTTTGTAGGTAAAACTTAAATTCAAGACCTCTCATTTAAGAAAGACTTGGGGGTGGGTGTTCACCCATGTAACCCACACCAACCTTCCTTACAAAAAAAATAGTTTTATAGGTTTGGTTCCTTACAAACTACTAGCATAGTTCTAATACAACGAACGATATGAACAAGAAGCAGAGTGAGTTAGTTTTTCAATTAGAGAAGGTCAGCGAGGAGGCGTCAATTTTTCAATTACATTTCAGAGGGCCCTGTGGCTCGTCTCCCTCCCGAACCACACTCATGAAGCAAACGAGTTTAATAGAGAATGATTTAATTATCGCTAAGAATGGATTAAGTTAAACGTTGATTGACTAGAAAATGTTAATTTTGTAAATTAAGTTGGGACTTTGAACGACTTCAATTGTCATTTTCAAGATAATGGAAGAGCCTCATAAAAATTTTGTGGAATAGTTCCGTCTTAATTTAATTTGTAGTTTTAATTAATTTTAATGATTTGTCTTTTGTTATACTCCGTAATAACTTATAATCGAAGGTAATATCGATTTTCATCGGATTCGATTTGGCCAATACACTTTTCCTATGAATGGGATGCCTTGTCCTTTAAACTTTAAAGCAACTTTTTCCTATATGGATGATCATGACCTATCATTACAAATTACAATAATTCCATTTTTGTTTACAATTGAAATGTTTTAATTGGAAGGCCCAGTGCCCTACTAAATACTGTGATTACTGTCCCGTGGATAGACCATTCTTGTCTCTTAATATTGTCTCTAAGTAGAAGTGCGTCTTTATTCCATATTTCTAATATCTTTAATTGATTTTTCAAAAGAATTCACTCATAAGTTATTCTCTATTAGGATCGCTCTCAATCTTATGATTTGGTTGAGAAAGAAAGAGATAGATAAATATTAACCACATTCCATAGAAGAAAATCTCAAACTAGTAATTCTTTTTGGGTATTTTGAGTTTTGCACCTCATTTTATTGTCTAAATTAGACTTTGCACCTCATTTTTGAAATCTTTAGCATATGCATCTCAATCCCGTATGAAAAGACTAAAATGTTTCTCCATTAACAATTTTATTGACCTTCAACATATTCCTGATCGAGGGACATTTTGTCTTTTCATACTAGGTTGAATTTGAATATAAAAAAATTCAAATTCAAATTATCTCATTCTTTTTTAATTTGTTCACGATCTATCCATAGTGGTGGACAATCACTTTTCATTTCAGAACAAGATATGCATTGTTTTTTGTTGTTGTGGTACGTACGT